ACCGCGCGCCACCGGCCGCCCGGCGGAGAATCATTTGGTCCGGCCGCGCCTCAGCCACAGGAGACTTTCTCCTCGCCCGCCCACGCAGCTTCGCCTCGCCCGCACGCACGGCACGCACGAACACGAAACCGAAATCGATTTCCCGGTAGGGGGGCTCTCCGTTCCACTTCGATCTCACCCCCTCACCTCCGACGACTACTACTACTACTACTGCTGCTGCTACTGCTGCTGATACTACGAAGATCGCACCAACAACAATACCACGAATGACAACACCAACAACAACAACAACCGCAACAACAACAACAACAACAACAGCAATGACGACAACCACAACAACAACAACAACAACAACAACAACAACAACAACAACAACAACAACAACAACAACCACAAAAACATGAATCCGAACACCAGAAGGAACAACAAAACCAACATCATCAACAACAGTAGCAACAACAACAGGAGCAGTGATGATATATAAACATATAAGGCACTGAAAATCGACAACAACTACAAAAACAACAGCAGCAGCAGCAGCAACCACCACAACAACTGCAACAACAAACACAACAACGACAGCAACAACAACAACTACAACGACAGCAACAACAACAACAACATCATCAGCAAGTACAACATTCACAGTGGTAACATCAGCATCATCACAGTCATCAGCATCATCGTCAGCATAGTCATAGCCATTATGATCACCAGAATCAAAAGTATTAGCGTCAGCATAATCCTCATCATCGTCATCATTATCGTCAGCAGCTGCAGCAGCGAGGACAGCATCCTCGTTCTCGCGGTATTTGTCATCATAAACATCATCACCAGCAGCATCACCAACAATAACAGCATCATCAGCTTGATCATCACAATCAACATCACCCGACATCATCACCCGTCATGATCAGAATCACCATCATCATCAGCATCAACATCAGCATCCATCATCAGCAGCATCATCATCAGCATCCATCATCAGCAGCATCATCATCATCAGCAGCATCATCACAATCATCGCCATCGCCATCGCCATGACCATCATCATCAACAACAACAGTAACAACAACACTCCTCCTCCTCCTCCTCCTCCCCCGCGAGGAGGAGGAGGTGGCGATGGAGGGGGGGGCCAATCCTCGGTCGCCCCTGATGGCCACGGCCCCCACGGCCTCCGCCGCGGCCTGGCGGACCCTCCAGCTGGGGTCTCGGAGGCGAAGGCTCACGACCTCGACGGGGGGGGGCGGCGGGGCCGACTGCCGGTGTCGGCGGCGCGCAGCTGGAGGAAGACAGAGCGGGCAAGCCTTCGCAGAAGGAGGCAACGCTTCTCAGAAGCGCTCCGGCCTCTGAGAAGCCCTGCGGCGTGGAAGAAGGCGCAAGAAAGCTCCTCAGAAGGCCGGAGGCCTTCTGAGCCTTCTGAGCAGGCCCGCCCCCTCTGCCTGCCCCCCTGGGCGCGCTGCCAAAAGTGGGCGGTGTAAGACGAAGGCAGGACAAGGACAAGCGCAGGCAAAGACAAATCGGGACTCCCTGAGAGCTGACGGGCCTGCAGGATGCGTCGGCCGCCGCGGCCGTTCCAGAGCGCTCCGGAAAAAGCGTGTCAGAACGCTCTGGAGCGATGTATCCTCATCCTGGGCCTACGTGACAGTGGACCAGGATTGCAAAGACCAGGACATTCATATCTCATCAAATACCGTCATGCACAGCAGGAGCCATCTTACTCGAAGAGCGTACGCGTTGACTGCGATCAGTGGTATGAGAGGGATCAAAAAAGTGGTGGCACGGGAGAGAACCTGCGAGAGTCTGTGAGATGTGGCGGGCTTCGCGAGAACCACGCGTGTGAGAAAGGGCGGAAGTTTTCAAGAAGTGGTTGGGGGCATGCGAGAGCAGCGGGAGAACTGGTGGGAGTAGTGATGAGGCAAGTGAGCGAGAATAGTAACTTAGTGCACAAGTGAAGTGTACAGCTTCAAGAGTAGGAGAAGAAGAAAATAGGGGACGCCAGGGGGGCCTACTGGCCCAGGGGGCGATGAGGAGGAAGTTGTCATACGTTTTGGGGGACTCCAGAAGTCGCCGGGAACCTCCAGGGACCTCTGGGAATCTGCAAGAACCTCCAGGAACCCCCGCGGAGACCTCCGAGAACGGGGCAGCGGCCTGGAATCGGCGATACATCATTTGTAGGTCGGCGATGGGCTCCCGATGGCGAAACCGCGCGTTCCCCAGCATGACGGGGCACCCAGGCTCGGATCGGCGACGAATGGGCGATTGGGGGTCGAGGTGCCACCCCTCCCTGGAGCCAACCACCTTAAAGGTCTCCTGACGTCTTCAGAAGTCTCCTGAGGCACCCAGAGGTCCGATGAAGGGAGTAAACGCCCAAGAGTATCGATCCTCCCCCTCCCGGTTTTCCTCCTCCTCATCCTCCTCTTCCTCCTCCTCCTCCTCCTCCTCCTCCTCCTCCTCCTCCTCCTCCTCCCCCTCCTCCTCCTCCTTTCGGACGTCAATG